ATACATGTATATGTGTATACATACATACCTAGCTATACATTTGCCGGAAGAAAGGTCGTCGTACTCTCGCATGTTGGTCGTGTCCTGACAAAACCTCTTCCCCCAGAGACTCCTCCACCAGAGTCCGCAGTGAGGAACATCACAATAGATGATATCAAAGCGTTGGATGAATTCCTCCGCTAGCCAGGCGACTGTAAAACGCAATTTTCGGCCTCCGCGCCCTACTCATGATCGCATAGGCAAGAGGGGCAAGACTTTAATCCTGGCGATGTACATATTTTGTGTGTGTGTGTGTATATGTGTATGCATATGTATATGTACAGCTATATGTATATGTATATATATATATATATAGGGACACATACACGGCCGCGGCCCAGAAATCTTCTGAAGGCGGTGGTTTAGTGCCCAGAGTCGTTCTTATATAGACATCGGATTCCAAGCCAACCGTTTTACATGCCAGGATTCTTTAGTCGCAAGTCAACATGCTTCGGGCACACGCCCATGCCGGTGGGCTGTTGTGAGGACTCCATTTCGACTTTCGACCCATTGGTCCCACGGCGGAAGGGGGGGGGAGTGTTGGGTCCGGACAATTTGTTGCGGCAGTTCAGTGCGTAGGTGATGCGCTGTCATGTCGCTTGTCCAGTGGTTGGGAAGTGACCGGCATTCATGAGCTTGCTCGCTTGCAGCCACTCTCTCCACCACCCGCTGCCGCTCAACGCTGAACAACCCCTCACCGTTTGCCACCGATGTCAGCGTGCGTGTGGCCCCACGACTGTAGGTCGAGCAGACGCTTTGGGCAGATATCGGGGTCTTTACCCGGCGAGGTGATTTATTGATCGTCATAATTGTATACAGTGCAACTGTATACAATGCAAGTCACACGTTCGGTTCCTGTATATCACACCGCCGGGTCTGCGATGATGATGCAATCGAATCATTCCATTGGCTTTGCATCTTATTCTGCAGAGCATACATTGCCATATACCTGCAGACTCGAAATTTTCCGCTGGCCAACGCGCGATTTCGGTCATGCTGTGTGCTAAGACTCTTATGCTTCCGGTCAATCTTGCAGTTTGCCGGACAAAGGCATGGAGCTCGCCGTCGGCAGCCGGGACGCCACCTGGAAGAGTGCGGTTCCCGTCCTCATGGGTTGTTTGGGAGGCCGTGGTCTGGGTTTCAGGACAGAGCCTAGTGGGCCTGCCCCTCATAGCATCGGCAGAGGCGTCCTTTGTGTCCGCGGTGAGCACAGCGCCTCGTTGCTGGCGGTGGTGCTGGTCCTGTTGGGCTGCACCTCCCGCGGCGTGCTTCCTGACTGCAAGTAAGATCCTCAAAGATGTTGATATGCTGCAATCGAATGTTTCCACCCTCGCCATTCCGACTTGTTCGTGAAGTGGCGCAGACGTTTGCTCGAGAAGGCGCAACATGCAGGGCATTTGCACGCATTCGTGGTACGAAGCGTCTGATTCGGGAATAGATGTAGCACAGCAGCTCTACAGCACTATGCCAGCTAGCTGTGAGGTCCTGAGAGAGCTAGTGAAGCTAGTGGCGCAAGGAAATCTATTTGGCAGCAGCGGCTAATCTTCTTGGAACAACTGGGGCCAGCACGCCTTGCTGCCTGGGCAGCCGTGTGGACATTGCTCCTGACCCTCCCTTTCGCAATAGTTTGGGAAGGAGCCAGCCCCTTGTCCGCATAGCGCACAAGGTGCAACCTTTCCGGTTGGCCTCTGCTGCAGTGTGCTATCAGTGACTTTTGCATTGCCTGCAAATCTCGACCCTGCCTGACCGCGCCACCCGCCGAAGCTAGAGGCTTGTTTCGAGCAATGCCTGGTGCTTCGAAGCATGCGCTTTGTGCTACTTTGATCTCCTGTGTGGCGGCAGTGCTACTGAATCTGTCTGCAGCTCGGGAGATGGTCTTTCGGATTTGCAATGGGCTGACTTGACTTGGCTACGTTGGGTTTAGGTCGCAGTGGACATCTATGCGATACTTGGGCCCGGTGATGCAACAGATGTCGCCTGGCTACCGTCGCACCTGACACTCTGTCCATTCAGCAAGATTGCACGGTGACGCCCGTTGACACCCTTTCGAGAGGTTTGGCAACTTGCAGCTTGTTTTCGCGGCTGCCTCAGTGAGCACGGGCTGTGCTGAATCCACCCAGCGAGCCTTTTGCTGCACTTTTTCAGGTGCTCATCCTTGCGGCTGTTTGGCTTGACGAAGCTTGCTCGCCTGAACAGGTGCTAGGAACGGTCACTTGGCACTCGCTCTCACTCGCTGGTTCTCGTGCTTAATAGACAGATGTGGTGGTCCTTTTGTTCAGCCGCTCTTCGCATACAAGGTCATCCTGGTCGTTGGCGTACTTGTTGCCAAGGTGGGGCATTCCATGGCATGCCGTAAGGATGAGTCCTTTTGTTGCTCTATGAACATTGCAGGGAACAGTGGGAGGTCCAAGGATTGCGCAAGCATGGTGGAGCAACGGCACCGGGTGTGCATGCCCTTTGAAGGATAAGGGAAAACGATGTCCCAGGAATAATCGCAAACATGAGCGGCCCTGTCGGAGCCCACAAAGTTTGTCGTACCCGCCGTCATCAGTGTCGGAACATCGCCGTTCGCATCAGTTCGCATTCGGAAGGCCGCTCCGGAGAAGGTTCACAGCGCCAGGAAGTCCCGCCTGTCACAAGTCCCACAGCCAGGCTCGGGGTCTGGACTTAAAGTAACTCTGGCCAGCGAGTACCTATTTCTGAAACTCTCAGTTCCTTTGCGCAGCAATCCGTCTTCTGTGTGGCCCCCATGAAGCTTGACAAGTGGAGGCTATCAGGCCACAGAGACGGCGAGGAGGACGAAATCGGAGACTGCTTGATCTCGAGTGGATTCTGCTCCTGCACAAGTTATCGGAAAAAGGCTAACCCGTGGCTTGCTGGATCCATCAGTCAATTCTGGTCTGCTCAATCCGGCCCCACGTCTCTTGCCCTGCTTGATTGAATGCATAGCTGTCTTATGCTGCCACTTACAATCTTGCACTTGACAGCTTGGGCCTTGGCTTTAGTAGCTTACTGGACAGCCGGCAACCCACGCATCCGATGGCAGAAATCAGGTCTTGTTAAGCAGCTCATCGTGAAATTCCCGGCTATCAAGTGAAGGTCAGCAATTGAGTCTCCAGAGCAGGATTAAGTAAAAAACCTTGCGAGCTGCGAGCATGAACGGCAGCGACACCGATCAGGCTTCGGGTCCTGAGTGGAGAAAGCATGCCGCAGCCGCATCTATCAGCGTGGCTACTTTCCACTCGAGGTGGCCATGGCTGACGAAAACATTCCGGCGCACTTAGAGTGTGCGATATGCATGAAGGTCACCAGCTGAGTCATGTGAGTTCCTATCCAACATCTGTCGTGAGCCGACGGCACTTGATCATGTGTGCAGTTGTTGTTGGAGCCCGTGTCCGTGCCTTGCGGTCACACGTTCTGTTGGTGCCTTAGCTTCCGCGCAAGTCGCAATAGTACCTATGCCGCTTCACGTCTAGCCACGTTTGAGGTCAAACGTGTTTGGAGCAGGCGCTGGGATACAGGAGCAGCCCAAACCTGGCCCTTCCGTTCGGATGCTGTGAGACAGTGGTTGGCTCTAGGCCCTGCCTTGAGTCTTGAGGCTAGGTGCGGCTAGGTACACGTGAACCTACGTATCTCTTCGCGAGAGGATGTTGGTCGCAAAAGAGAGTTGCCACTCAGACTTGCGGATCATGCTACGGTGGGCGATAGGGCAGACAGATCTTGATTGAAACGTTTGCCTGGCCCGAAACGTCGTTCCCGAAATCACGTTGCATGATCCCCATATGCATGGACAGAGCAGGAACCTATGTGCGGTCTGCCGTGCACCGGTACCTCCCGGGCAATCGGTGAACATCCTTATCCGCTTCTCGCCCAGTTGTGTCACCATTCTGGGCACACGTTGGTTCTGGCTTATGTTCCAGGCAGCATGATTTCGGAGCAGTGCCCCTGATGCTTGAATCTCAAGCATTCTAGGTCAAGTGTGGTCCGTGACCCTCCGTCAATCGGAGCTTTATTTGGTGGCAGGTACCCCAGAGCTTTAGCCAGCCGGCGAAGGGAAGTTGAGGAGGACATGGCAGCGTCTCTGCTGTACCGCTTCTCAAACAGTGCAGAACTTGCAGCAAGATTTGTGCAGGAGCTGCGCCAAGCGGAGCAAAACGCAGAAGAGGAACGCCAGCGAGAGGCCTGCATCACAAACAGGATGTCGGCTCTGTGTTTGCGGTGTGCTACTCAAAGCCGTGTCAAGGGCTAGGGAGCTGGATGGCTGGGAACTGACAGTATCCACGACGAAGAGACTTGCGGGGCTTGGTGTGCTTCGCTGAGCTGCTTGTGGCCTACGGTCGAGACGAACATCGACAAATTCAGGTGAACAAAAGGTAAATGCACGCAGCGCACGCACACAGCGGGCCGCTCCACATTTCAAGTAGGACTGCACATCTGGGTCTAAGCAGGCGAGGCTCCGCCGTGTGATAGTCAAAGTCTATCCCAGAGGGGCCGAAAATCAAAGCTCCGAGTTGAGGCTTTCTGCTCAACTGCCTTGTTCAGGGCAGGTCGCAGTGTCGAGGAAAGCACCCTTATTTTGGATCCCAAGATGAAACGCCTTTGCCAGACAAGCTTTCGCATCAAGCGTGCAAAGGATAACGAACGTTTGGCAGGTGGCTGGAGATGCCCCAGCACAGACTGAAGCCAATGGGGCTGGCGGAGACGTCATCATTCTACCGGTCCTCAGGCGCGTTTGTAAGTTGCGATGTTTTGTGACAGTGCTGTGAGCTGTGTAGTGCAAGATGAGTGTGTCGCTTGCGCCTTTCGCCTAGCAGAGCGTCAGGCACAAGCGGCCAATGCTTCCGCAGTGCCGCTGCTTGGCTGCAGAGTTCTGTGTTAAACGGTAAACCGTAAACCATGCACTGCTGTCTTTACCCCCATCCTGAAGGCTAGGGATGGTCAGTTTGTAGCCGGTTTACGAGGGTGGGCATCAAACATTCGCGAGGAGCAGCCTTCCCGCTTAAGGAACGTAGCATAGCAGCACACGGTGTTGTGGAAGCTTTGGGAGAGCGGACGCGCGGAGGGGAGTGATGAATGCAAAACAAGATAAATGGCTATCAGATTGTTCAGCAATGTTCGGCATGTTGAAGGAATTGGTCACGAGCTGGACTCGCAGGGTGAACTGGTCGCCTGCCACTCAGCATGTTTGTCTGCCTCTGTTCCAATGTTCCAACGTTTAATACCGTTTATTCTCCGCCTGGGTCGTTCAAAGATGCTTGTTGTGAGGTGAACTTTGCCGTTCAGGGCGGCCGGCGCATCTGCATGATGCTACCTGAGGGAAACTCAGGACGGGTTTGACAAGGGCTGCAAGGCACACGGGTAACAACGATTTCAGTGCTCCAGGCATTTGCATGAACGTGGAACACCTTCGACCTGCAGGCAGGCAGGCAGCACAGGTACCCTAGCTGCAGGAAAGCCAGCATGGCCGTGCTGCAAGCATGTCTCGCAGCCAAGGTCACACTTGTTGGCAAGTTCCGTGTCCGCCTGACCGAGCAGCCCCACCTACACGAGGAGAATCAGACGTGGGAGAGTGTCAGGAGTGTTCCTTGACAAGGGGGCAACCCCGGACACAATGAGATAGCTGCGAGACATGGAAGGGGTGGGATGACTGGTGTGCAGAGATGCCATCTGCAAAGTCTCAGTGTATCCCAACCAGCGCTCCACATGGTGGCGACAGTTGCAGCACAAGGTTGCAGAGCCACATGCAACAACTGTTTGTTCAGGGTATCGGGACTGGAGAGCAAGTTGCGTTGTAGTAGTAGCAAGAGAAGTGAGCACTCGTCCGTGAGACTGTTGCACATATGCGGCTAGATTCGGCAGGACGGGTTTGAACTTGGTCGCTTCGAGGCTGTGGCTTTACTTTTCAAGTGCCTCATCTTGTGTAGCTCGCATGCGCATTCAAGGCGTACTTTGACACGCCTTTGCCGCTGAACTTGCTTGGTCGCGAGGCTCCGCAAGAAGGACTGAGCAAAACATGACTTCTTCATGCGGGTCCTTTGCAAGCCCTTTTCATCATACCTGCGAGTCTTGAGCCCTCTCTCCAAAAGCAGGAGCCGACGGCGAGGTGCCATCAGCCAGCCTCCTTCGCGGCTGCAACTTTCTCAAACTTCCCGTGACAGGAACCGGCCCCGCTGGTTGCAGAGGCTGCTATGCAGGCGCACAGTGACCAGGCCACTGCGCAGAGTGTCTGCAGATAGCCGGAGGCTGTTGAGCGACAGCTGGAGATGCTGGGTTCCGGAAGCAGGTATGCAGTAGCCTCAGCACATCCTGAGGGGAGAGTTTGTGTGTCGGTGCCCATGAGCCCTTGAAGGCAGCAAGAATGTCAATCTTGGATGGCCTCATGGTATGGAGTCCTGCAAGGTCTTCACTGAAAACTGTGGGGAACCGCCTGCTGCGCTTCGCCGGAGGCAGTAGTCAAAGAAGGGAAATGCGTGGCATGTGACGCATGTCTGGCCCTCCGAGACCGGGTGGAACATTGACGTCGGCAGATTTGGAGGCAAGACCACAAAGAATCCAAGAGTCCGAGTCCTGCGGCCATGCATTCAAGACCTGGTCTCATAAAACATAGTGCTGCATATGAGCATACATCATACATCTTTCTGGATGGACCTGGAGCTTGCTGTGACGTCTTTCTGAACGGAGTCTGTGTAATCTCGTCTGGGATCTACTACCTGCTGTTCTGTGCAATGCCATTTAAGTTAGCATGCCGGCGAAACATGCATTGTTGCCCTGTGCACAGCAACTTTCCTTCTGGCTTCTGGGCGCCATCATGATGCACGATGGCGACAGGACACCGCTTCGTGAAGCATCTTGACACAGGAAGCTACGACAGAACGAGCTTCGGTTTAGTTCTAGACAACTCGCCTGTTGCATTAAAGGGGGTTCTGCACTCGATTGGCTCGACTTTTGTTCCCAATCCCCTCTGGAGTTGGGTTCCCGTTTAGATTTTGCACGGGGGGTCGCGATAAGGGCTGCGTCACGGGGCCGACGGGGTCGGGCCTAAGATGCGTGTGCTGCGCAGTTTCATCTCTTGCTTGTCTCACACATGAGGCTCCTGAGGGGCAGTTCAGAGTCCGCGCAAGTGACGACTGCATCATTGTGCCTTCGCGAGTCTGCCTCGCAGCACCTTGGACGCCAACTGTGCTGCACCGCTGTCCAGCATCATATCCTCTAGGGGTGCTCTACAAGCCACGAAACCCTTTATTTAAAAGTCAACCACCCTGCCCCCAACGACTCAGTCAAGCAATGCAGGAGGCGAAAAAATCCTACCTAGGTCACACCGAATCAGCCAAGCCCCAAGCAGGAAGAAGTGGGTGGACTCCACGGACACGCAGCAGCGGCTGGTGGCCTGTCGGAAGAAGCTCAAGGCCCGGCTGCCGAGAGGGAAAGGCTGGTTAGCGCTGATGCCCTCGCGACATCCCGGTGCTTAGAAACGGAGTTCCTCTCCTTCAGAGTACGAACAAGCTAAAATCGATCGCTACGTTCTTAAGGATTGTTTGAAAATCGTGTTCTTGAGGTGGGCTTTTAGCGAGTTCCAGGCCGGAGTTTCAATATTGTGAAAGGTGGGCAGGGCGGCACTCAACATTGCTCCCATTTACTCACAGGAAACGCATCAAGGTGTCACTACAAGATTTGAACGAAGGGAAGGAGTGAGAATGTGGTCCTCCGGATGGTCTAACACGTGTTTCGAGGGAAAAGTGAAACGGCATAGTTTCCATTGTGCTCAGGAAGCCGGGGCGCGCCCGGTTCTGAACCTTCCTGGCTCGGATTCGTGGATGCACCCAACGCAGCGAAGCTGCATTGATTTGATGCAGCTTTTTTCGGAGCATGTCGCTCCATGACGATGCATGTCAGCGACAGTCATCCAAGCTCACTACGACAGGCAGTCATCTTGGAGCAGCCTGGTGCCATGCCCAGCTTGTATGGTGCACTTAAGTCTATGTACGGCGTGCGTGCCATCGATGGTAGCCCCCTGTTCTGCTGGGGCCTTCACGAAGCATCCGCGAACCGAAGAGGTCATGACCAGCTCGCTTATGTCGCATCTGCCTCTTTGCAGAGGTACTGCTCCTGGTCGTTTTGGCCGTTCTCTTGGCAAAGGCAAGTGGCCAGTGGTCTGTTTCTGTTCAGCGCTGTGCTACAAGTGTTGGTTTATGGAGTCAATCAGCTTTTTGGGGAGGCAGGATCGCATGTGCCGCTCAGCTTTGCAGGCACTCGGGCTCTTCGACAGTTGGGGACGCAACGCATCGAGGCGTTTCAGAACCCTTCACTGGCAGCTCATCGTTACCGCTGTAGGGGTGCCACCGCAATCTGGCAGCTCTGTGCAGGCAGACCTTGAGCAGCCGTCGCTTCAATTGATCACGCGGGTCTCGCCTGTACAGCGACTTGCAGAAACTGGGCCCTGGCTGCTGGAAACTGCTTGAACCTGTCGCAGCGTATGCAGAGTGAGTTCCAGCATGGGAAGTCGCTTGCCTCTCCCTGCAGCTTGAAAGCAAGTTTAAAAGGCAATGTGGATCCCCGAAGGTTGTATCGGACTGTGATCATCGTCCAACTCCCAGTTCCGCTGTGGCAGAGTGTGGCAGAGAGAAAGACGAGCAGATCCTTTCCGAGACAATAAGCCAAGTCCTTCAAATATCCAGCTTCTCAGCCCATCATTCGACCATGGAGCGGCTGATGGAATCTTCGGACAGTGATGCATCATCACGGCCGGCAGCTGGCTTATTCATGCAGCCAGGAATGAACAACATCTCGTTCGTGCCTTTCAGATAGCAAGGTGCGCGATGTATCGTGCTGCGCCCAGTCGAGGCACTTGGCTGGTCTCGTTCTATTACTTCACACCGTCAGACCTGGACATTAAGCCTTGAGTTCAACCCCGATGATGGCAGGTGGGTGCAACAAGCTGTTCGAGTATGGCGATGGCCTCACGAGATCACCTGGCACGTCGCGAGTTGGCCCATTGTTTTGTAGCAGATGCACTCTGGACCGAGGTTCTGCTATTGCTACCCTTTGTGCTTCCTCGCTGCCAGTCTGCTGCGGCCAGCGACTTCTGCTCATGGCTTAGTCTTTGTTGCTGCAAGTAGTTTAGAGCTAGAAGAGGAGAGCTGGTGTGGGATTGCAATCGGGGGTGCGCTTGGAGCTTCCCGGTGCGGGCCCGCACAGAGTAAGTTCGCCTCCTCGAGCGCTCTGCTTCCCTTGTTTGGGCAGAAGAAGAGAGAGCCGCTGTCCCTTTGAACGATGACGAGTTCATCGCCACTGTCCTCAGTTCGGGGGAGAACCACATACATCGAGCAATGGCTTTGACAGTCTGCTCGCTTACATGCCAAAAGAAGAGTTGAGACGGTAAAGCCTTCCGTGACAAAGCGCGGCGCACAGGGGGCGATAGATCGAGAAACACCCGAAGAATCTGTGTTCCTCGTTCAGGTGTAGAGAGTGCCAACAGCAGCACCCGTTTTTTTGGCCTCAGGGGCCCCAGTGGCAGACAAGCAACACGTGCCGAAGTACCGAGAGAGGGGCTCTGGCGGCGTGAGTAACCTCGCAGTACTAGCACTGCAGCAAGAGCGGGGAGTGCTAGTAAGAGTGAGCCTCCTTGTCTGCTGCGTCAACTTCGAGCTTTCTTTAATACAGGGGACACACCGGCCTCAGAATAGTGTTGGACATGCAAGTCTTGGTTGTGACAGATGCATAAACAAGCTAAATAAATAAGTTCTTGCATTGTTATAGTCGCATAAATGCATATTGTGTGGTTCTCCAAATGAGGGTCCCTTTGTGGTCCCAAACGTAGTACCGCACCTTATCCCAAGAAACTTAATTAAATGGGAAGCTATTTTACAGTACTGTGCACATATGTACCTACGCACATACGTCGTACGTAGGTATGTGATATGTGTGTATGTATGTGTGTATGTATGTATGTATGTGTGTGTGTATGTATGTATGTATGTATGTATGTATGTATGTACGTCGGTATGGATGGATGGGTGGGAGGATGTATGTATGTATGTATGTATGTATGTATGTATGTGTGTGTGTATGTATGTATGTATGTATGTATGTATGCAATAATGTATGTATGTTATGTAATATTGTATGTATTTACACACACTGTAGATGGTTCATGTTGATTGTTTATCTCGAACAATCTCATAACTGAATTGTTGGAGCCGGGGCGGAGGGGGGGGACGGGACGGACCTGCAATTTCATCTGCGAACTTGCTTTTGTGCCCCAAGTTGGCAGAGGAGAGCTCAGGGTCCCGAATGCAATCTCTTGGAATCATTGTTTTGCCCTGCATCTCTTTGCCTGGCACAACCAAGCAAACCTGTGTGCCCCTTTCTCCTTCTCTATCTCTCCCTCTCCGTCCCTCGCTCTCTTCCTCCTACGGGCGTGAGCGCATGCTCGCACACCCACGCGGTTTATCGCTTGCTGCAGGTGTCGGCGATATACTCACTTATTGCATTTCTGGTGCTTTTTCTTCCCGCGTGTCGTGTGCGGGCTTGTGAGTCGCGGCCTCAGCGAGGTCCCTTGAAGCAGAATGTGCATGCGGGAAGACAGACTCGGCAGGGCTTCAAGCTGGCGGCGCCTTCATTTGGTTTTGGGAATCCTCGCGCTTAGCCTGTTGATCGTGGCCGGTGTCATGCTCGCCCTTTGTAGGCTTGGACACATGTCTACTTTCGGGCTCCAAGGTTCAGGATGTCTGCAGAGCGAGAGGGCTGCTTTGCCAACCGATGTTGCCAGGCATAGCAGCCTTGAAGAAGAGGCGCTTGTCGCAGGGAAGCTGATGTTCTTCGGCATCGCCTGGGATCTTAGCAAGAGCATGCGTTCTATCAACTCTCTATGCACTTTTCCGATTTGATCGCCCAGGAAGGTTGCATGGAGAGCCGGTGGATAATGCTCCCAGAGGCACTACGCATCAGTCACGGGGTCATGTGACATGAGATGGTGTGAGAGCATGGACTGTGAAGGTCATGGCAACAGTCACGGCTTGCCTGGGCTGTTTGCTGGGTCGCTGTGCTCGCAGGACGCAGGCTCGACGAGCTTTGCGCAAGTACTTGACAGTTCACCCCTACTAGAATGCAAGACTTTGCAGGCTAGCCAATGCCGCCTTTCAGCATGGTCAAACCCCCTGAAATCGCCATGGAGGCTCGCATGTGCTCCTGCCTAAGCCCTCACAAGCATTGCAGTGGATGTTCCAGACAGAGTTTTAAGCTGTGTCTAATAATGCGGCTCTGGCAGTCTTAAGGTGACACTGTGCAGGTCTCAGCTGCATTGCGTTTGGAAAGCTTCCGAAGATGAATGCAGCCATCGTTTGCCGAGGATTCTCTTTTGCTCTGCCAGCCTTCACTTCAACATGTTCGCTGTCGTTTCTGCCCGAGATAAGTGGCTGGAGCAGTTGTGCAGCAGCCGATGACCACCAACTGCTGCTGGTAAGGCATACCACTTTGCGACTGTTTGTATACTGATATTGTGGGCCGTGGTGAGCCCGTTCGCAGCCCACGGCGGGCAGCGGCAGGACCGATGAATTCATATTCTCTTGCTCTTCTTGTAACATTATGACATGGAAGGACAATTATCCGTGCGCTTCCGGGTTGCTGAGAATGATCCTTTTTGTCGCGAGCGCCGCGCACGTCATTGTGGCCGTTGCCTCGGCTGGGAAATCCATCTTGCAACCTGGCGGCATGTGAAGACCAGGCAGCCCTACTGACCGTCAGCGTGCCGGTTCTGCCGTTTGAAGTCCCCGAGCGGGTGTCCAGACTTCTTGGCCTGGAGGCGGCCGCGAAAGCGCTCCCGCATCTTCTGTTGAAGCCATGCCGCAGCTATGCCATGCTGGTGCTGTTTCGCCCTGAGTAGGTGACACCATTGATGGCACTACAGCAGATGGCGAGCTTCCTCCTTCTGGAATTGAGCCTTGGACTGGCATCAGCTGAAGTAGACCTTCGACGCAAGTGCACGGTCACGTATAAGTGAAGAAACTGAGGATTCTGTGGCCTTCCTTTCCGGCGCATGAGGCCGCCTGCAAGCCTCTGGCTGAAAACCTGGACCTTGACCCTCTTTCTCTCGCCCCCCTATCTTATATCCAGGCGACGAAGAAATCGCTCCAGGTTCCTCGAGGAGTTTCCGAGGACCCTTTCCGATCTTGTCTGTGCACGTTCGAGTTTCTGTGCAGGCCAAAGGCGTTGACGGACAATCACACAAACCCAAATTGAAAGGAGTTGCGGCGAATGGAGGCCAACGAGATGCAGTCTTGAGCCTTCGCCTTTACAGTCACGATCTGTAGGCGCCATCACCACCAGCCAATGGTAAAGAGGCAGGATTTTTTTGCACACGAGTTTCACCCATTGACGTCGCACTGAATCTCAGACCACCCCATCCTGCGATGACCGGACGCCGACAGCGGAAGGCACACCCGCCTGGGACCTAGTCGATGGCAGCCCAATCTTTTTCGCAGATCAACCTCGGAATCTTGGCAACTTGTTTCTTTTGCACATCCTTCCAGAGGTCATCTTGACACAAACACTGCTGTAATCCCTCAATCAATGTGGGTCCTGAGGCCGTGTCCACGAGCAGCTGCCAGGTCTCAATGCAGGATGGGTTGTGAAAACAGTGTCGTTGCCCTGTAGATTGCCACCCCGGACCTTGTAGCAGTAGTCGTACGTAGTAGTAGTAGTAGTAGTAGTAGTAGTAGTACTAGCAGCAGCAGCAGCAGAAGTAGCAGCAGCAGCAGCAGCAGCAGCAGCAGCAGCAGCAGCAGCAGCAGGAGCAGGAGCAGGAGCAGGAGCAGGAGGAGGAGGAGTAGTAGGAGTCGTCGTCGTCGTAGTAGT